CCCCAAAACCCCAAAACCCCAAAACCCCGCGAAGTGAGAATATATAGTTTAATTTTGAAATTAGGAAATAGTTGACAATGAAAAATTAATATATCTTTAAATATATAGTTAATTTTTAAAATAGATGGTAGACCAAAGTAAATAAGAGTAAATGAGAAAAGAGTTCGAGAAAAAGGTCGAACTCACTAGGAAGGAACTAGTTGGTATTGCTAATTTCATTTCTGAGAAAGGTTTGAAGATAAAGCAAGCTAGTACTCACGAAAGCATGATTGATTACTTTAGAGGTATACCTAAAATTATAGTGATTCATGACTTTTAGGCGATCAATTCCATAAGCTTGTGCTTGAGAATAAGGACGATATTCTCAAGATGTTCAAAGAGATCAAGACCTTCCAAACTTTGGAAAAGATAGAAGATTCAATCAGACTGGGCTAGATATTTATCGACTTCAAGCTATTGATTCCTCTAGAGAGACATGCTCATGCCTAGGAAGATGCCAAAAAGAAGTATCCCAAGCATCTAGGACCCAGCAGACCTCAAGCATGGAAAATGACTGACAAAGGATTTTACTCTTGGAACACTCCTAAACCCACTAAGAAGCTAGCCATCTTGCTTGTTGTCGGTATTATTATTACATTTGCTTTTATGTGCTTCTCAATCTGGCCATTATGGTTGAAAATAGGCATCTGGTATTTTTCCTTCTATACGCTAATAATCCTGGTAATTTCAAATAATCATGCTATATCTACTTTATTAGATGGGCTTTATCATTCTGAGATTAGTTGTCTGGCTAGTACTATTCCATTTCGGTGTTGATTTCTGGATCCTACCTAATTTCTTCATTGATTCGGTAATGCATATTTTGGTTATTAGCATTTTTCTTACATTATATAATAGAATGATATTATGGACTCATTTAGACCCATGCTGAGTTTCGAAAGAAGAGATGATGATGTGAAGATGTTTATATTGAGAATTGCTAGTGCAGTTGCACTCGTGTTCTTTGTGATTTAATTAGCTAAGGAGCCTGAAAACATTGATAGTTTGACCTCTTTCACTAATGAAAATTTGAATGACTTATTTAACTGGGGAAATGATAGATTTGTGTTAGGTCAATTACCAAGTCAAGGAGGTAACTCAACAATGAAAAGAAAGAAGTCCCCTTAGGAAATCTTCATGGAAGCTATTTTAGAGGACGAGTAAGAAAAGTCAGTAGAGACTCAAGAAGAGGAGAAGAAACCAGAGGATAGTGAATCAGCTAGTACTGATGATTCAACCACTACTGCTGGTGATGATAGTGAATCTGATGATGTAAGTAAATAAGAGGAATAAAAGACTGAGAAATTGTTAGATATCGATACCTTGGGCTTAGATGAAGAAGAGGAAGCTGAAAAAGTACAATAATAGGAAGCTCAGAAGGAATCCTTATGATAAATTTACTTTCATTGTATGCACAGAACTATTAATTCATTTAACGTGTTTTAATTTCCCATTCATTGACTATCGATTGCAACTATAATTTGATTACGGGGTTTTGGGGTTTTGGGGTTTTGGGGTTTTGGGGTTTTGGGG